TGCTAGATCCTAGATGGCCGGAGGGGGCTGGTTCACACGGCCGTAGCACGTGGAGGCCTCCATGAGCCACGCACAGAAGCCTCCATCCTGCCCCCGCAGAAGCAAAAGGGCAGGGATGGACCCAGGAGCGGACCCCCCAGACCCTCCATCCCGCGCCGCGCCCAACCTGCCTTTTTAGGGGGATCAGGCATGGAGGGCCCCAAGAAGCGTAAACCCCTACACCGCCTCCCTCCGCAAGGCCGGGAAAGGGGAAGCCGTGAGAGTCCTTCAGCCCGTGGGCAGCCACCTCCCTCCGTGGCCCCGCTGGTCTTTGTCCGGCAGCCGCTGGGCTCGTAAAGATAAGGCGGCAACTCTGCTATTTTTTCCTGTCGCGGCTGCTCCGGGGATGTCGGCCGCGGCCCAGGCGGGTTGCAGGATGCACCGCGCTTCCCTCTTCCTGCCCCCGGCGGGTTGCACCTCAGGCCTGTCTGGAAAGTGGCTCCTTCCTCACCTCCGCGCTGCCCCGAGCCCCCTCCCAGGCGCCTGCTCTTCCTGAGGCCGCGCCTCGCCCTCCTCAGCCGGGGTTTCGTGCCAGAGCTTCATGGGGTGGAGAAGGGGCTGTAGCAGTGGGGTCTTTCTTCAGTGCCCCGGTAGCCCGGGCATGAGGACTTCCCTGGAAGCTGGCTGGCAAAATCCGTGCTCTTCTAGCAAGTGGCGACTGGGACGTGCTTCAGAAGAGCGGGGCTCAGCAGGGCCTGGGAAATGGGGGCATCCGTGAGCCGTGACCCCACTCTTAATTCAGAACAGGCTGGGGTCTGCTCATGGGTGCCCAGCTCAGGCCGTCGTGTGGAGCCGTGGCAGGGCAGGCGGGGGCCCGTGGGTGCAGACGTCCCCGGGAGCGCTGGCAAGGGGCTTTGCTGCAGCGCGAGCATCTCCGCTGCGATCCGGAAACCTCGCGGCTCTCCTGGGAGGCAGTTACCCTATTTCCTTGCATACGATATGCCCCTGCAGAAGGCACGCGCCTTGCTTTTGAAAAGCAGAATGAAGAAAAGCGGATCTTGCCTTGGAAACACTGGCTGGCAGCAGGAAGGGACTGAGCGGCAGCTTCTGCAGCGTGCCAGCGGGGAGAGACAGTGGAGTTAGGGAGCCCTGGCTCCCCGGCAAAAACAGAAGTTACCGTATTTCCTCACTTATAACATGCACCCCAGTGTCCGGCAGCTGGGGTTTGTGTCGCGTGTGAAAGAATATGGTACTTTTCTAGCCAGGAGCCCAACAGCCATTGCCCCTTGCCCGGGAAGGGCACTCGCCCATAGGGGCTGCTCTGAGTATCCCATCACTAACCCCCATCCCTCTTCTCTTCTTCCAGGTGAGGAGCTGAGCTGTCGGGACCCAGGCTCCATGCCCCGACAGGACCTTGCCAGCTGCAGGCAGGAGCGGAGATCTGGTTAGGGGGCTCCACCAGCCCGTGGACACGGGTGTCAGCGTGCTTCCCTGCCCCAGCTGGACTCGGAGACTGCTTGCATCCGGCTGGCGGTCGACAAGCCGTGCCGCCACCTTGTGAGGAAGGCAGTGGGACTTACGGTGGGCTCTGGGCTCCTGCCATGGTGCCCTGAGCCTGCCCTGCTGCCAGCTGCCCCTTGTCAGGGCACGTGTCCCCGAGAGCCGAGGGGGCCGGTGCCATGAGGCCGGTATCGCCAGCCAGCGGGATCTCCCCGCTGGGGCTGCTGACGCGGGGGCCGGAGTACCTGCGCCGGCAGGTGGAAGGGGACAGGGGCGCCCGCTCTCCCAGCGCTGTGGAGAGGCTGGAGGCCGACAAAGCCAAGTACGTCAAAACCCAGCAGGTGATCGAGAGCCGGCAGGAGCCCGTGCTGTGCAGCAGCACCCCCCGGCCGTCCCCTCGCCCCCGGCGCCTCCTCATCCCGCACCAGTGCAACGAGCTGAGCGTGGAGCTGAGCTGGGACGGCCCCCGCCGCCCGGCGCCCCCGCAGTCCCCCGTGGCACGGCGTGGCGGCAGCAAGCGTGGGCTGAGGCCCGACTCGCTCGTCATCTACCGGCAGAAGCGGGACTGCACGGCGGGGAACAAGGAGAACGCCAAGGGCTACGGCCTGGTGCGGTGGCTGCTCCAGGGGGCCCTGAGGGACAAGTCCCCCACGTCCCCCTCCTCTGGAGGCCTGGAAGAGGAGCCTCTGACCCCGGAGAGAGAAGAGACGGCCATGGTCTGGGTGCCCCTGGACAAGGAGGTGGCTGGAGCGCAGAGCCCAGGAGGCAGCCTCTTTGCTCCTGGCACCAGCCCCATGGAGCAGGCGTCACCCAGTGCCCGGAGACCCCCGTGCAGCTCCAGCGCCATGGAGCTGGCCTCAGCCCGTGCCCAGAGACCCCTGCCCAGCCCCGGCCTGGGACAGCCCCTGCCAGGGGCCAAGCCGGCGCTGGCCCTGCGCTGCTCCCTCCCGCTCTCGGAGAAGGAGCGGTTCTTCAACTACTGCGGCTTGGACCGGGACCTGGTGGAGGGCCTGGGGGCAGAGCGCTTCGGGCCGGCGGGCTGGGACGTGGCCTCCTCCCTGCACCCAGGCAGCCGGGGCTCAGCCGGCTCGGGGTCCCAGGGCGCCCCGTCCCAGGGCAGTGGGGGCGAGGGGGAGCCGGGCGCGCGGCTCTGCTCCGCCGTCTCCATCGTGGAGCGCAACGCCCGGGTGATCAAGTGGCTGTACGGCTGCCAGAGGGCCTGGGCGGCCGGCCGGGAGTCCACCGTGTGAGCGTGGGGACGGGCCAGGGCCCCGGCTGGGTCTGTGCCCAGGACATTGGGCTGTGGACTCGTGGCAAGATGGACTTGGGGAGGGGGAGATGTGAGCTGGTTCCTCCCTGCTGCCCTCCCTGGCACCGGCTGGATGTAGCGTCCCCGGCAGGGGCGACGTGCTGGTCTCATGCTGCTCACAGGAGGTCATAGAGGCGAGATGGGACCCAGGTGTCTCTGTGGCTGGTCCCAGCCGAAACCCGCTAGTTTCCCCTGACAGCTGCAGGCTGAGGAGCAGCCCTTGGACCTTCTCTGGAGCTGACGGGCCCGGGGCCGGCAGGACTTGGGGCCTCATCCGTGGGTTTAGCGGGCGCAATGCTGCCCCTTGAGAGCCGGCTCTGTCAGCTGCCACCTCCCTCCCAGGCTTTTCTCTGTGTTTTCTGGATGAGGAATAAAACCAGATGCACCTGGAGTCCTGCTGCCTGCGATCCCGGCTGACGGGGGGGCTGCTGCTGAGGGCCAAGGGTGTTGCGTGCGCTGCTCCGGGCTGGGGAGAGTGCCTCCCTCTCCGGAGACCTGGCGCTGGGGGAAGGATGCCCTTGGTTGGCAGGCCCAAGCCTGGATCTCATCCCCCCACCCTCCCCAGTCCCTCTCCCAGGCCTGGCCAGGTGGAGCTGAGCTCCCTGCTACCAGCCCGCACAGGTCCCAGGCAGCCGGGAGCCTGCCAAGAGCGCTCGGAGCGGGGAGTTACTCATCCTACCCTGCCCTGTGCCCTCCATCTCCAGGTGTGGGTGGCTCCTGCTCCCACCCTGCCCTGCTGGGTAGAACGGCTGCCTTTGATTTTGGCATCCACGTGCTCTGCTCTTGCCAACCCCCTCCTCCACGTCCTGCAGCTGCCTCCACGAGGGGCTGCAGAGACCCAGAGCCTAAGGCAGGCCGATGCCTGTTGGGGTCTCCCAGACCCCCCAGCTGGGAGAAGCCAGGCCCCAGGGATGCTACGCTCGGAGAGCCGATTGCCACTGCAGGCCCTGGCCCGGGGGCTCTCCTCTTCCACGGCAGCACTTAAAGCAGAGGGAGGTGGTGTGGTGCATTGGCAGGGTTTTTGGGAAGCAATGGGAAAACCAAGCCCTGGAACAAGCCCCTTCTTGCCCCAGCCAGAGGCAGGTGCTAGCAGCCTGGGAGCCCAGGCCCTGCATCTGCCCCAGCTGCTGCAGGGAGGAGGAGGTGGGTGGAAGGGAGCCTGGGAGAGTGTCCGAGACCGCATTCATGATAGCACCAGCTGGAGCTTTGGAAGCACCGACGGGCCTTACTACATACCCAGCCCAAACCCTTCAGAGCTGGGAAATGCCAGCAAACATTACTGGAGGTGGCTGGACCGGGAGCGTTTCTCCCCCTCAGCCAAGCAGGGCACGTGAAAGCCTCAAAAGGGAACCACACACTATTAGCACTAGCAGGTGTGCGGGCTCCTACACAGCATTTGCACACCAGGAGGAACCCAGGGCATCTGACCCGTCCTGCCTCAGGCTTGCGGAGTCCTTTGCAATTGAATCGCTTTTGTATTTTCTGCCGCCACCAAAAACCAGCGGAAGCCACGAGCTGGCGTTTTCCGAAGGGGGCGGCTGGCATCTGAGGAGGCTGAGGCCCACCCATGCGTACACAGCCTCCTGCATTTGGGTGATGATGGCAATACCCTAGGTTTTCCTCCAGCACCGTGGAAGTGCTGGCAGCCGGTGGCTGTCTCTGGTGCACACGTCAAGGTGGGAGGGAGATGGGGCTGCAACAGTCGTCTTCACAGAGCTTGGGGAGGGGAGTTTGGGGGTCTGTGGCCTTCTGCAGTCAGCATGGGGACCACGTATGTCCGAAGCGTGTCGTACACACTGCCCTGGTCTGCCAGGTGGGCAGGGGCCAACTGACCCTGTGCCACAGCTTCTGTCGACGCTCTAGTGCCCGCAGCCGCTGCCTCCCTGCGGCGTGAAACCGCTGATGCCTCTGCTGGGCCTGGCCTGGGGGTCCCATCCCCTGGGCACCCACAGTGTGATGCTGGGCCTTTGCTTTTCCCTTGCACCACCCCTGCCTGGGGCTCTTCCTGCCTGGGTTTGAGTTCCCTGCCAAGCTGCGTGCAAGGCCTTAAACGAGCAGCACCACCTGCACAAGCAGGTGCCTTTGCTGCAGCGTGGGAGAGCGGGGAGTCACGCCCAGCCCGCACCGCGCAAGAAGGGCCCCTTGGAGCCGGCGCCAAGCGTGGGCCCGTCTGCATTTCTAGAGAGGACACGGAGCCGCTGCAAGTCACCGCAAAAGGACAGTGTCAGTATTAAACAACCACAGCAGCAGGGACGCGGCCTGCCCGCCTGGCAGACCACAAGACAAGTGCTGTTGGCGCGCGGAGGGAGCTCGGAGCTGCGCAAATACAGGGTCGTGCTCAGGGGAGTCACCCAGGGTCCGTCTGGCACTGGTGGCCCTGGGGACATCCCCCTTGGAGGGGGGCAGGGTCCCAGCACCCATCAGCACCCGCCGGAGCTCTCGCTTCCAGCGCGGTGCCTGAGCGAAGCCCAGCTCCTGTGACACGAGTCTTTAAAGTATGCCCAGGGCCTCGGTTCTGGGGTGACCCACTCAAGACAGCTGGTGAAGGGGGCTGGCTCTGAAAACCTGGTCCCCTCTCCCTGTCTCTCGGTAGGTGAGAGTCCCACAGGAGCAAGAGCCCCGTTAGCAGGGAGAGGAGCTGGCTGGGGTCAGGCCCCACGTCTCCCACCCCAGGGGCACGACCCGGGCACCGCACCACGGGACACTGGCAGGGGGATACTCTCGGTCTCTCCTGCCCATTCAGGGTCGAGCTGTGAGAGGTTTCTCCCACCCGTGACTGCTGTGCCCGTCCTCCCTGCTTTGCAAAGCCCCTGCAAAGAGGGTTGCAGGCTGCCATGTCCTAGCGGGGAGGAGACCCCGGCATCCCAGTGCCTTGTTCAAACGGTGATGCTGCCAATACGGTGCCAAGGACGGGGCAGGGAATGTGGTCGAGCCTGGGAGACGATGCCGCTCTCATTTCCAGGGTCGGGGGAGCAGCTACCTGATGTTGGATGGTCCTGTCCCAGCCCCACAGCTCTCAGGGGCGGTCTGGGAGGGGGGAGAGGGGAGACCTGCCCCTGGCAGTGCTGCGGGAGTCTTTGCAGGGGCTGTCCATCGTCTGCGCCTCCTCCCCTAGTTGCTCTTGGAGGGGGTTTTATTCCGCATCTCGGCCAGCTTGCTGGCCAGGAGGCCCCAGCGGAACGGCCCCTCCTCCACATCCCGGAGGTCACTGCCATTGCTGGGGTAGGCGGCCTCGTCGCTCAGGGCTTCTCCGGCCGCCCCAGTGGCATCCTCACCCATGGGCTTGCCGTACTCGGACTGCGCGCCCTTCTTGTCCAGCACGGTGGTCTGCTGCCATTTGGTGGCGAAGATGTCCCAGAAGCCAGAGGCCTTCCTCTCGGACGGTGGCAGCTCTGCTGGCTTGGCTGCCAGGGGGCTGGAAGCGAGGGACGGGGTAGCGGGTGAGGGTCGGGGCAGGGCAGCCTCTCCACGCACACGCCGGGGAGGAAGATCCCAGACAGAGCATGTGGCAGGGGCCTGGCTCTGAGCAGGGGCAAGGGGAGCGTGTCCTGGAGGACAGGACCGCAGCAAGCCTGGGGGAGCCCAGGCTGCCTGGGAAAGGAGCCCTTACCCCAATACCACACCGCCCCTCTGCCTCCAGAAACGCCCCTCCAGCGCAGCGGGGCTCCACTTACTGGTCAGCACAGGGCTCGGGCGTCAGCAGCTGGTGCTCGTCCTCCCTGCTGAAGAGCGACGAGAAGGTCCTCCAGCTCTTGGCGCTGGCTCCCTGGACCTGCGGGCAGGACAGCGGGGTGGGAAGCTGCCAGCAGCAAAGCTCCCACCCGCAACCCGGCTCCCTGCGCGTGCAGCTGGCACAGAGCACCCCGGGGCAGCTGGCAGGAGCCGTGGGCCACGAGGCTTCAGCAAGCCCCTGGGTGCATACAGCGCCTTGCACCCTGGCTCTTCAGGGCTACACAGCACACGCAGGGGCCTGACACGGCCCCTGCTTCTATATTCACTGGTGCGCCCACCCCAGTGGCCGGGCCCTGGGAGCTGGGAGGACAGAAACTCATCACCTGCATTCGCCTTCTCCCCCCCAGCCACCGCCTCCTTGCCCCGTGGGGCTCTGCTCTGGCTGCAGGGCCTTGGCCCTCTCCTGCGGGAGGGAGCTGGTTTCTTTAAGATCCCTTCTTCCGCCGGGTGCCCAGAGAACGGACACACCTGCCGGCGCTAATGCAGGGAGTGGAAGGGCCTGGGCCTGGGCAGGATGAGCTGCCATTGCTGTACCCCATTGACTGCTCTGTTAATGCCCCCGGGTAGGTGCCTTCACCTCCTGGCACTGTCCTGAGCCCTGCCTGCTGCTCTATAGTTGGAAGACAGGGGCTTGCACAGAGCATCCCGTCCCTAGTGGAGACAGAGCCCAAGCCACCGCGGTGCCAGGTAAGGCTGATGCTGTCTGTGCCCCTGGTTTACATCTGGCCTCCTCTGGCTGCTGCACCGTGGCAGGGAGCTCCCTGGGCAGACCCATCTCAATAGAGATGTCTGCCAAGCTTCCCCCAGACTGGAGGTAACTGGCGCCGGGGCCGGGAGCTCGTGGGCTGGGGGTGCATGGGATGGGAGCTCTTACCCTCCGTGCCAGCTGGGCCACGGGGTTTGCTCCAGCCTCTGTCAAAACCGGGGCCTCGGCCGTTTCCACCAGCTCGGGGTTGTCGCTCTGGAACAGAAAGGCACTGTCAGCTGTGGGGCCGCGGGGACGGGGTGCGAGCACTGGGGCTTTGGGGGCAGAGTCTCGTCACCCCTGCAAGCATCTCCTCGTTGCCACCCACCGGCTGCCCTGTGCCTCAGCCGGTTCCCGCTCTTCCTTTGGATGCAGCCAGCTGGGACGTGTCGACAGGGCAGGCCAACTGCCCCAGCCAGCCCCCGGGGCATCTTCATGCCCCGAGTCTTCACTGCTCTTTGTCCCTAAGCTTGCTAGTTGGGCACGGGAGTTGGGTCTCTCCCCATTGCACGACCCAGGACCCGGACTTGTAGGAGAGCACCAGCCAGGGGTCTGCCCGCAGTCCTCCCCCAGGCTCCGGGCACACATCCTTTGTGTCCAGGAGGTGCCTTGCAGGGCCCGTGCCCATCAGGGTGAGCTGATCCGCCCCCCTCGCCTCCCACCCCTATGCCAGATGCTTCAAGCCACCTGCTTTGGGGCTTGTTAGTGCCAAGGCAGAGCCCAGCCTGGAGCGGGGGAAATCCAAGCAGCGCTGCTGACGGGGGCGGTGGGCCACTGCACGGGACCCAGGAAGTCTCTACCTCCTCCTTGAACTCGTCCTCCGGCTCCTCGCTGCCCAGCGTCTGCAGCACCTTGGACTTGTAGAGTCTCCAGAAGCCCTGAGTCATGGTGGCTCCGGGCGCGCTGGCCCTCGGGCGCGGCTGCGGGCGGCAGGCACGAGGCTCTGGGCACCGGCTGGCAGGCGGCTCTGTGCAGGGTCCGGCTCAGCCCCTGTGCCTGGCACGCTGGGGGCAGGGCTGGGTGCCCATTGCACTTCCACGCTGGGCAAATTGAGCGGTCTGCGAGGTCTCGGGTCCTGCGCACTCGTCCCGTCCCCACTGCCGCCCGCCGGGATCCGATGTCTTCATTAAAATTGCAGGTGTCTCCTTCAATGTGCAGCTCAGGAAACAAAGAGGAACCCGATCCCAGGTGGACTCGTGTTGCCAAGGCCCAGGCCCAGGCTGGGGGGAGCTGCTGGCCTTCACCCCGGGGTGTCTCCTGCCCTTTGCTTGCCCTCAGGACTCCCAGGGCAGGCTGCCTCATGCCCCTGACCCAGCCCCTCGGCCTTGGTCCCAAAAGGGCTTTGTCCAGGGCCTCAACCCCCTGCTTCCTCCATTCTCACAGGGCCATTCAGTACCCACCCATGTCCCTCAGCAACTAAGGTGTGTCTCTGGCCTGTTACCTGTCCCCTCTGCTTCTGCGGGCTCTCCCATGGGGACCTGCCCAAGCTGTCCCCATGAAGGGTCCTGCATAGACCCCCCCCCTCCTTGCTCAGCTTGGCACTTGGGTGATGCTTCATTATTTGCAGTTGGTAACCGATGCCAGCGGAGACTGCACGCCTGGAACACGGTATCTGGGTAACTGGCTGGAAATAGCCTCTGGCAGCTAAATTATTCCTTAGGAGCCCAAAACCAGCTCTGCTCGGCTGTGGATTCGGTTACCGCCTGCTGGCTTCTCCGTGCGCGCGCCACTGGGCAGATGGGTGCTCGGGGCTGGTGAGGGCTAGATGGGCAGGAGAGGGACGTGGGGTGGGGTCTTGGTGCCGTGGCGTGGCAGGCACCTTCAAGCTGGTGTGCAAAGGGGTCTTCATCCTTCGTACCGCCTCCTTGAGCCATGCCTGCCCGCAGTGTGTTAGCACCACAGCCCCATCCGCCGTGCTCCAGGGCTGTATGTATTATTGATTCCCAGCCCAGCGGGGTAATGTGATCGCGGGCGCAGTGCCGGCTGCTCTTTTTGGTGGATTGGCAGGTGTATCTTCAGTGTATGAATCCACATTATTAGCCATTGTGCCCACATCAGCCCTGCTGCAGCTTGGTCCTGCTGAGAACTCGCGGCTCAGCACAGCAGTACCCATAAGAAAACCCCTGCCACGTGGCCATGCTTCTCCAAGAGATTCAACCCCCTTCACTGGTCACACCATCGACCTCCTGCCCCATGGTGTGCTGGGCAGGGAATGGGGAGACTTCCCCCTGTGCCCCACTGGCCCCAGCGTGGTGGAGAGGGGGCACATTTCTGATGGCATGCGGCTGCCATCCCCCAAAATATATAAGGCAAAATTTGGGTATGAGCAACGGTCGGCCCATGTACGCTGCACGAGAATCTGCTCCCCCAAAGCAAGTGCTATCGCCAAGGATGCTCCCTGCCCAGGACGGCAGGTGGAGGAACAGCAGCTCCCATCAAACTCTGTATCGTATGGGGCCAGGTGTCCTCCTTAGCATTGGTGCATTGGACCTCAGCATGAAAGCCTGGTTCTGGCTACGTGCAGAGGAGTCAGCCCTGCTCCCTGAGTGCTTTGCTCCCCACGGAGGTGTCTGTACTGCTCTGTAGGTCCCCAGGGAGCCTTCCTCTCCAGAGGGTGCCCCAGCCACCCCCTCAATGCCCCGGAGAGCGAGACTCTGAGAGCCCCGGGTTGCCTTCACTGCCTTGCCTCTGAGATCGATGCCTGTGCAGGAGTGACATGCTGGATGGGCTTGAGGCTGGCCCCGCTGAGAGCGCTGCGGACACAGGCTGCGCGTGGTTCCTTCCAGGGCTATCGTGTCTTCAGCATGGGGGTGAAAGATCATTACCTGCATGTCTCTCTCAGCGGTCTTATGCATGGAGTTGACCCGTCCTTCACACCAGGCCACCTCTGGGGTCAGAAGCTGTGGACACAGGAATAGCCCCAGACGCCTCAGTGCAGGGAGGATACCGCATCCCCGGGCCCTTTGCGACCCAGCCCTTGTTGCAGGCCAGGAGTCTCTGTTTCCCCTCTGCACTGACCCCACTAGATAGGACGCTAGGGCAGTGGGCCCTGCCCAGGGCCTCCACCACAGCCTCCTTCCTGGTCCTGTAGCAGACAGCCAGCTTGGCCAGAGCCGGGTGGGTTGTCCAGGGGGTCACGGGCCATGGCAGGGCCCATCGTATCATCCGACCCAGCTCCTGTGTTGTTATGGGGGTGCGGGGAGCTTTCTCGCTCATTCCCAAGCTGCCCTGGTTCCAGCCCCTGCCTCGGGCACAGCTGCAGGGACGGGGGAGTAGGGTTCACACCCCTCTTCTCCTGCCTCATCCAACTCCACTGCAGGGAAAATGTAAGCCATGCCATGCGTTGAACCTCAGCCAAGAGAGGGGGGCTCACGCTTTTCTCTTGCCAAAAGTCCCACCGGGTCACTCCTGGCTGCGGGCGGAGGGGCCCTGGGCTCCCACCCATCCTCAAGGACCAGCTGCCACCAAAACCCAGTGCTCGGGGTCACGCTCTGCAGTGACTGGCCGGTAATCAGTGTTGAGCTGCAACGTGATCCCACCGATGGAATTACATCCTGCGGCTTCGTTTCCATGGGCCCAGCCCCGTGCAGGCAGTGTGCCGGCACTCGAGGAAGGAGTGGGGGTGTGAACCCTACCCCACCTTCCCTGCAGCTGTGCCCGAGGCAGGGGCTGCAGCCGGGGCAGCTTGGGAACAGGCAAGGAAGCTCCCTGCACCCTCGTAACAGCACAGCACCTGGGTCGGATTATTAGGATGGGCCCAGGACCCCCTGGACGACGCCCCGGGCCCTGGCCAAACTGGCCGTCTGCTACAGGACCAGGAAGGAGGCTGTGGCAGGGGTCTGGACCCCTGGGCGGTGCCCACTGCCCCCTCATCCAAAGGGAGGGAGGCTCCTGGCTCTTTGCTGGGCAGCGACCCCGATTCCGGGGGCATAGACAGGCCTGTCCCAGGGAGCAGAGGCTACAGGACAACGACTGGGCCTGACCAGGGGGTTCCCCGGGCCCCGATCCCGCTCTCGTGTGTCCCCATTGCCCACAGGGCCTCGCTGCCCGGGCGGCGTTACCACGCGCCGTGCCCCACCCCAGACGCGGCTGCAGCAGGGCCGGGAGTCAGAGGACAGGAGGCGGAGCCACAGTGCTCACTCCCCCTCCCACACAGGGTCCTCCCCGCATGCGCACTGAGCACTACTCACTCCCCCCTCCCACCCGGGGTCCTCCGCCGCATGCGCACTGAGCGTACTCCGCCATGCCGGAAGTGGTTGCTTTATGATGAGGTCAGAGCGAGTGGCCGGAAGTGGAAGTGGCCTCGTCTCCCCGTGTCTCGGGCTGCGCCGCCATGGCCCCGCGCAGCTCGCGGCGGACGGGCTCGCACCGTGCGCACTCTCTGGCGCGCCAGTGGAAGACCAAGCGGCGGCGCAAGGACCTGGACCAGATCCACGCAGACCTGCGGCCCGAGCAGGCGGCGCGGCTGCTGCACCAGGAGCCTGACCCGGATCTGCCCGGCAGCGCCCGCTTCTACTGCCTGCACTGCGCGTGAGTCCCCGCGTGTGACGTAACCCCCGAGCCCGCGCGTGGCGCTGTCCCCCGCGCGTGATTTCACCGTGGTCGTGGGGAGCCCAGCCTCTCCACCCCCACATCTGCCCCCTGGGTCGTGCTGTGGCCGGGAGGCTACACAGTCAGCGCCTGGGCTGGGGGAGCCCTTGGTGTCACTCCCGCCCCGGCCCTCGGGGAGCGCCCATGCGGCCTGAGGCGAGGGGTCCTACAGCCGGTCCCTCGTTCTTCGCCCCGAGCTGATTCTGCTCTTTTTCCATCCCTGAATCGGCTCCTGCCTGAGCCGCTGCCTTCTCTCCCGCAGGCGCTACTTCGTGGACCTGAGCAGCCTGACGGAGCATTTCAGATCCAAAGTTCACAAGAGAAGGTGATGCCGGTGGGGCGGGGGGCGCTGGTCCTCACCAGTCATTGCTAAAGGGGTGTGTGGGCGCAGGTGTGTAAATGTCTGCCGGGTAGCTCCATCTTGCTTGGGATTCTCTGGAATAAGCAATTCCTGTGTCATAGGTGACTCTGTTCCTCCTTCCCTGTGTAACACAAGTAGCGTAGTTAACTTCTTGTCTGGATCAGCTCTCTGTGCTAAACCCTGGATTTCATGCCCACTTCAGCCTTTTAAGCTTTAAGGAAGTGCAGTGCCGGTCTGCCCGCTAGTGGGTGGCCGAGGTGCCTCTTGAGAGGCAGCAGGGACCGTTTCCCTTTTGCTTATCCCTCCAGTGGAGGTGGCTTCTGTGGGTGCTGCTGTGCTGGGAATGCAAATGAGAATAGCTTTCACAGAGGCCTCGCAGTGACCTGTGTTGTGACTTTCTACCAGCTCTGGTACCTGTTTGCTGTGACCCTTGTGTGTGTTTTAGTATATTATTTGTGTGTGTTTTATAAGGAGTTTTTATTACCCCTCCCTTAGGCCATCCTGGGTACCTTGCAGCTCTGTGCCAGTGCTGAGACTTTGTCCAGATGCAGCTGGCAGCAAGGACTCATTGCTTGCTAACTTGCCTGGGTGCTTGGTTTCCAGAGCAGGTTCTTGATCAGAACTTGCCGCTGGATTTCAAGAGTTTCTTTTGGTTTTCTTTCTCCTAGACTGAAGGAGCTACGTGAGGAGCCATATACCCAGGAAGAAGCAGAGAGAGCAGCTGGGATGGGATCCTACATCCCTCCGAAGAAGATCGAAGTACAGACTCAGCCACTTGAGATGGAAGAATCCAGCTGAGTTCAGTGGACGTAATGGAATGGAGGCTGCTCTGATGTGTTGGGTGGTGCCCTTGATGAGACGCTGCCACAAGATGGGGCTTTGTCCTAAGTTAGGCAAGTGCTTCTAAAAACCAAGTCTTACCCCGACTCCCATAGCAGTCAGCTTGTGTTCCCTCTAACAAATTAATGAGGGGAGAGGTGGCTGCGGGAGTCCTTTGACCAGACACTTGGGCATTGTGTTCCTCTTGGCAGGGCTGCATGTACAGGGCAGCCTGAGGCTGGGAAAAGGGGCAATTGCTTCTTGCTGTGATGTCGACGTGATTATTATGTATCTGGTGTTTTCAAAGCAGTGGAGGCAGAATGGCTCTTGGCTCAGAGTTTGAGCTCTGTAATTGCCTGTTCAATTATTCAAATAAACTGGTTGGTGACTCCTAACTGAGCAGCAGAATGTTCTTTGTTGGCTTTGTCCTGGCTTGTATATCAGGGACCTGGTTTAGGGAAGGAGACCAACCCCATTGCTAGCAAAAGCAGCTTTTCCCCCTGTCGGCTGCTTCTCCAGATGGGGCCTCCTCTCTCTGTCTCAAGCTCTTACTCTGAAGAGGCTGGTTTTGAATTGTCTGCAAGCAGCTTTAAGAAGTTGCGGGGCCCTTGAAGCAAAGAAAGGGATGAGAGTAGCTTTGGGCTTGGTCACTTTAAATTCCCCCAAGATCTGTTCTTAGTCAGATCTGTTGTATTTGACACCCTGAGCCACTTCCTTGTGTCCTTGTCACACTCCAATCTCGTTCTTTCCTGTCCTGGGAATATGCCGTATCGGGCTTCTTCCATCTCTGGCATCTGTGGCACTATATAAATCCACGGCACATCTGTTGAATGCAGACGGACGTAGCAGGGCTAGAAAAGTTGCAGAGAAGGGTAATGAAAGTGATCAGTGTTGTGGAGCAGTTTCCATATGAGAACATGAACAGACCAAGACTCTCTTCCAAGTTGAAGAAACAGCTGAGGGGCTATGACAGAAATCAGTCAAATGGTGTGGGGAAAAGGGACTAGGGAAACTTTCAGTCATTGGGTCTCAGCTCTTCTTTGGCTGCAGATTTAAAACAAACATGAAGTGGCGTTTGGTTTTTTTGGGGTGTTTTTGTATTTACTGTTGCAGGGTGTTATGGAGGTCTGTAGTATAACTGGGTTCAAAAGGGGTTTAGACAGATTTCTGGAGGCTGGGTCATGGGGGCTGTTAAATGCAACAGTCAGGGATGTAACCTCAGATCTAGGACGTGCCTAAACCCATGGCTTCTGGGAACATGGAGGGGATGTGTCCCTCTTCCTCTAAAACAGTTGGGGTCGACCTTTGTGGCAGACATGTTGCACATTAAGCCTCACACCCTCTCCAAGTGCCACTCTGATCCCCTTCCCCTGCCCGATCTACTGCTTAGTCTTCTGCTCCCTGCCCTACGTGCCACTACACTGCTTGTCCCCTCCTCAGTCTGCTGTGCACACGAGCTGCCCCTGCCACTCGTGCCACCTCAAGCATGTGCTCTTTCCCACAGTCAGAGACGGGAGACTGGCCTTTGGCCTGCTTCAGCATGGCAGCTGTTGTGAAGGAGTCATCTGAGAGCCCAGTCCCCATCCCTGCTTGTAGCAGCCTCCGTGCTTCTGCCATGTTTGATGCCATACAAATTGCCTGTGAGACTGACACTGGTAGGGCAGGGAGGGAGCCAGCCCCTTCTGGTCTTGGAGACTCTTCCAGGAGGATCCATTGCCTCAGAGAAGGCTGACCAGGGATCTTGCTTGTTCTTGCAAAGATGAGGCAGTTGCAGGTGTGAAAGATACTGACCAGCCACCTCTTCCACCAGAGAGGAAGAAGGGAGTGCGTCTGAGATCCTGAGCGCTGCAATGGGGCTTGGTGCTGCCCTCTGGGGTCGTACAGTGGAAACGCTGCCTGTTTATCTGATAAATTTACAGCAGCCGGACGCTTCCGAGGGAGCCCCCAGCCCTGGTAGGGCGGATGCTTGTGCTGCATGGTGGAAGAAGGGAAAACTGGGCTGCCCCTGTCTGCCCTGCAGACTCCTGCAGAGCCAGTTACAATGCAGCCATTGCAGCAGGTCTAGAGGGCTGAGCTTAGTGTCTGTTAAAAGGCTCTTATTTTCCTTCCTGAGCCACCTTAACACACAGCAGAGATCATGGGGCCTGCTGGCTGGATGAAGCTGGGATGGCAAAAAGATGAGAAGACAAGTGAGTCACTTAAAAGCATGGGGTTTATTTTACTTAAGTCAAACCCACACCCTGCCCCTCTCCGTGAAGGATTGC